TCATAGAAAAATCATACAACCCTTGTCCCTTCCTCATTTTAAAGCAAAAATTGTATTTGTTCACTAGCCCAGTTATCAAATGATTAATGATCAGCATGCCTCTCAAAAATTTTGGGTTCAGTACCTAGAAGTTAAATTAAGGAATAAGGAATAAATGACAAAAGGAGAAGCAGGACGAGAAGGATAGGAAGGGAAGGAAAGGGGTAAGAAAGGAAAGAAAAGGAGGGAAGTATGGAAGATGGGGGGGGTAGAAAAAATCAACTTTTTGTTTGTGTTTGAGCCAAAGCTGGCACTGTTCAGAGGTTACTCCCAGTTCAGGGGACCATACACTGGAACCCAGACCACTGACATGACGAGCAGGATCCCGCTGACTCTCTTTCTGGGCCCCAGATGGAAAGAGGTTTTTAGTTTTTGTTAATATCTCATTTTATTTCTTACAACAACAATCTGTCAAACTGTCTTCTTTAATCTTTGATAGTTTTCTTTAAAGGTTGGGATTCCACTGCAGACTTCTCACACCATTTCGTCAGTAAAGAAACAAACAGCACCTGGCCCAGACAAGGTCAGACCTGAACACCTGAAGAACCTGCCGTCAGTACTCATCAATACACTGGCTCGACTCTTCACATGCTACCTGTCTGAATGCACGGTTCCATCCCAGTGGAAAACCAGCAGGACTGTACCACTGTACAAGAAGGGAGACATCCACGACATTGGCAACTATCGCCCAATCTGCCTATTGTCTGTCATCTACAAGTTGTTCTCTCGAGTCATCCTGAATAGGATTAGCAGAACACTAGATGAAGAACAACCATGTGAGCAAGCTGGGTTCCGCAAAGGATTCAGTACCATCGACCATATCCACATGATAACCAAGCTCATCGAGGTTTCTCGGGAGTTCAAGATGCCGCTCTGTCTAATGTTCATTGATTTAAAGAAGGCCTTTGATTCTGTTGAGACGGAAGCGTTCATTGAAGCCCTAGCCAATCAGGGCATTCAAACCCAATACATCAAGATCCCCCGTGAGCCGTATTGCGGATTCACTACCAGGATCTCACCATTCTACAAAGAAGTAATCATTGATGTCAAGAGAGGGGTTCGGCAGGGTGATACCATTTCACCGAAACTCTTCAGTGCCATCCTCGAGAACATCATGCGATGACTGGAATGGGAAGGAATGGGAGTGAAGTTAGATGATTGGCAACTACACCACCTCCGCTTTGCTGATGACATTGTTTTAATAACACCAAACATTAGCCAAGTGGCACAAATGCTGGCCAACTTCGACCGTGAGTGTGGAAAGGCCGGACTACAGCTGAATCTTACGAAGACAATGTTTATGAGAAACAGCCTCGTTCCTGACGCTCCATTCTCTCTCAACGGAACAACCATCTCTTCTTCTCACACACACACACAAATAATAGCCATGTCTAATGATGGAGTGTTGTTCCCCCTCCCTTTTAAGACCTTTGCATTCTGCCGTCTGTGCTCTCAACACACAGAGAAGCGCCACTTGTTTCTTAGTCTACTAAATTGTCCTCCAGAACTAACAACTAAGAAATGGTCTATGTACAATTGGACAAAAGACTTTTCAACCTCCACCCCCAAGAGGATTTGTGTCTGAAAAGGTTTCCCTGGTTCTTTGAGGATAAATCCATCAGCATTTCTAGGCCTGCACTCTTTTCCCTAGGAAAACACTTCATCAGGCTTAACTTTTTAGTTCCTAGAATGAAATGTCTCCCCATTCCTTCATACATGTCAATAGCATGTGGCCGAAATGGCCTTTTGCTTTTTTCAATTCTGGAAGGTCTTCAACATTCTGCTTTCATGTAGACCCCTAACACTATCATGAGAATGAATAACCAGGGCCTTCTGGAAATGAGAGTGTGGGACCAAGCAGAAGTTGTTTGTATGTGAACTAAGGCTCCACACCTAAGAACGATTCCAGCCCAAAGTGCAGTTACCCTGAAGCCAAACCTAAGAAAGAGAATAAACTATTCTAGACTAGCCACCACTACCTGCTCCCCATTCCCAATTTAACCCAAGGAATTTAAAACTAAATGGTTGGAGCTTTGGATAATGAAGATCTGAAGTGCTATGTTTAGCAGCAAGAGATAAAACAGCTAAATCTGTCTTTCCTGGAAATAGCTTTTTTTTTTTCTAGAAGTTCTCCATTTATGATGCAAATTCTGTCAAGAAAGTCTAATCCAATCATTTCACAAGCACATTTAGATGTCTCTCAGTTTCATCAACTTGATCCAAGTTGTGACAATCTTGTAATACTTGATTTCTGAGTTGGTGTCATTATTTTCTTAAAAAGGGAGGGGAGGTATGTCCGTGTTTCTAACTGTCTGCTTACCGATATGCTTTACACTCATTTTTGAAAATAATTCATGCTGAATGGTTTTGCCTTTTATTCACACTTTCACTTTTCCATATTTTCTGGGGTATTCATATGAAAGAACAGAAAATCAGATTACTTCCCCAGAGTGTCCAGCCAGGAATGCAAGCTTGCACACACCTTCATATTCCCTGGGTGGGATCAACAAGATAGTGGGATAATAAATGAGCACTGTTTCAAGCCAATCCTTGGCAGCACTTTGTTATGGAGGCGACAGAAAGCAAACGTACCACCCCATGGAGCCGTGGTGAGACGTCATTGATGTAGGGCTCTAAGCAACCATCCCTTACAGGTTTTATTTATGTGTACAACTTCTGGGAAGGCCTTCTGTTCAGAAGCATCCAAAGTATAGGACAATTTCTCAAACTCTCCTGGCATGGAAACATCATTAGCCTGAGTTTAGGGGGTCCTCGCTAATTAGACAAGGTAGATAACAAGCAGGATTCTTTCCATGTTTGTAAACACAAAGCTGTCCGGCCACCATCGAAAACAAGTTGTTACATACAACCACTGTCACTTCTCATTAAGTTTCCCTGGTTACTGGCCATCAGTAAAAGCCTATGTCTCCCTTACCAGGCACATGTTACATTTTTCACCAGCCTTCTCTGCAAGATGAAACACTCCTAAAAGGTTCCAGAATTGAGGGAAGAACAAGCTGGGTAGTGCCTTTCCTCTCTCCTCCAAAATCGCCCCCTCTTCCCATACGGTTCCTTTAATTTCCTGTGTTTTCTGCCCCAAACAATATCTTTCATTCAAGTAGTTTATGCAGAGAATGTCACATAAGTTGAAACGTGAATTTGAAAAAGTATAGACCAACTGAGGCCAGAGGTGGGAAGGGATGGGGGTGGGGGGGAGGGATACTAGGAACATTAGGGGTGGGGAATGGACACTGGGGGAGGGATGGTACTTGAACATTGTTTGACGAAACGCAGTCATGGAAGTCTGGAAGTCTGTAAATGTATCTCACAATAATTCATTAAAATAAAAAATTTGAAATAAAGAAAGAAAAAGGAAAAGTATAGGCTAAAAGTGTAGACTAAGACAAATTTGATGATGAGAGCAGAGAAGAAAGGCCGCTGGAAGGCTCCACAGCTCCCGGAGAATGCTCCAGGTCCTAAACAGAGCCAAGATCACCAGGAAGTCCCAGATGGGGTAGGTGCCGCATCCCGCCTTCTCCAGATGGAACCCCGGTGACCATGAGCCTCTACAAGCATAGCTCGGGCATGCGGGAACCAGGACATTTTTTCCTAAGCGGCCGTGCAACATCTCCTTATATACAAAGTGATCAATGGAAAGTAAATCATCCAACGTTTCTCCCTGAAAAATCAGGCTTAACTCTTTTACAAACCACAACACCCAATAGGAGAGAGAGAACAAAAGGGAATGCCCTGCCACAGAAGCAGGGTGGGATGGGGGGATGGGGGGTGGGAGGAATATTGGGATCCGTGGTGGTGGGAAATGGTCACTGGTGGAGGGATGGGTATTCAAAATAAGTTAAAAAAAAGACTAATTTGATGATGAAATACAAAACAGAGGAGTAAGTTTGAGGGTCAAGCTCTTCACACACAGGTGTCCTAATCTTTCTCAAAAAAAAAATTGTGTTTCTTTGCAATGACGAGAATGTCTGCTTTCTTCTCACACAGTTGTGTAATTTGGCTAGAGCTGGCCAGGGATACCCATGCAAAGGTAGGACAGCAGGCTGCAGTGTGAGGTCTCTTCTGATCTAGCATCTCCCAACCCTGTAAATATATACATTGCGAATATACATATTGCTTGTCCCAGTGTACTTTCAACAAAAGAAAATCATTTGTTAAGTGGGAAGTGGGATATCGAAGCAATTGTGCCAATCCATCTACCTCCCTTCACCTTGCCTTGTTGGGTGTATTTAGCAAACACTGGGCTGGAGCAATAGCACAGCGGGTAGGGTATTTGCCTTGCATGCAGCTGACCCAGGTTCGATTCCTCCATCTGTCTCGGAGAGCCCGGCAAGCTACCAAGAGTATCCACCTGCATGGCAGAGCCTGGCAAGCTCCCTGTGGCGTATTCGATATGCCAAAAACAGTAACAACAAGTCACTCAATGGACACATTACTGGTGCCCGCTCGAGCTAATGGGTGAACAATGGGAGGATAGTGCTACAGTGCTACGTGCTGATTTCAGAAAGAGCCCCCAACAAAGAGTGAGACTTGAGCAAATTGCCCTCACCCTGATTTTGGAGATGACAGTCGTGCTCTGGCTTCCACAGGCCAGGACGGGCGATGTAGTTACACAAACCAAGTCTGCAGCAGAAGGGAGTTGGCGTGGTGGTCCACATCCTGGCAAGGCTTTCTTTTTCGTTACTCCTACCTGAGTTACCACCGCCTGGGTTCTGAACAAACAATTGCCATGGCAACCATGATGTCAGGCAATCTGTGTGCTTTTGCTCATTTCTCTTCCACTTTTGCAGAGCATTAATGTCTTCATGTCCAATTTATTTCTTACCAGTCAGTTATAGGCAACACATGCAGTTCTGTTTACTGTCTTGGTTGCCACTTTGATACTCATTTAGGGGCTTCTGTTTATTTTTTTTTTTGTGTGTGTGTGTGTGTGTGTGTGTGTGTAGGGGAGGGTTACAAACAGTCGCCCACTGTCACAAATCATGTGGTTGACTTTCCCATATCTGGGTAAATCACAGGGGTCAGCACATCTAGAGTGCAATGGATAAGTCTCACCCTTGGAAAATTCTTCTGATCCTGGTATCTCCCCTGCCATGTCAGTGTTGATACTCCTTGTTTTTAATGGCCTGGCCTCTGGCAGAGCTGGTGAAAATGGAAGTCTTTTGTTAAGTGTGAATTCAACAGGATCTGCTCTCCCATCTGGGTTGGCCGTGGAAGCTTCCTTCCAAATAATTGGGGGGAAAGGATGGATTGTCTTGAGGTACCATCTCCCAAGGCTTTGTAGTTAAGAACTGGTGGATGGGGGCTGGCCTGAACCACTCAACTTTTAAGGAGGAAATTAAAAGGGAAAAGTATGGCTGGTAACAAGATTCCACTTCCCCCTCTAATCAAAGTCCTGGCCTTTTAGACCGTCACTTGCCTCACTATCCACCTGTCCCTATCCCTTTCATATATAAAAGAGCAACATGCTGAGATTTGTCCCTTTAAAGGCCTTTAACATCAACTTTTCTGTACTTCTATGAGAAATAATTATGCATTCTTCTAATCCTTTACATTACTCAAAGTCCCTTTGGTCTCTGGTGCTATGATTAGCACGTACAGGTATAAATGTATGCCACTGCCCTGCTGCGTGAATCATGGATTCTCTACATGTATATCTTCACCTGACAGTAGCTGGTACTATTTGAAACCAAAGGCTGTGGCATAATATATATTTGTGCTATTTTTTAATGCCAAATTATGTGAAAACATTATTACTCTCTGCTAATGGAAAAGCCTTATGATTCATCTAATTTATTTATTTTTTCTTTTTTGGGTCACAGCTGGCGATATTCAGTGGTCACACCTGGCTTTGCATTCAGGAATTACACCTGGTGGTGCTTGGGGGACCATATGGGATGCTGGGAATCAAACCTGGGTCGGCCACCTGCAAGGTAAATGCTCTACCCACTGTTCTATTGCTCCAGCCCCATCTAATTTAATTTAAACTTTGCTGTGTTTATGTTATATGGGAAGGAAAAGGAATACTTAGGGAGATGAAATGGCCTGGCTAAAGTCTCGGGAGCCATCTTCATACCCCCAAACTGAAATCTCCCATGCAGCGATTTTGAAATAACAGCATCTTTCAGAATTACCTGGATGGTTTCTTAAAAGTCAGATTCAGCATGTCTTGGGTGGAGCCTTAGAATTTGCATTTCTAGTAAGTTCTCAGGAGTGCTGATGCAGCTGGTCAAGACACATCTTCAGGAAAAAAACTGCATCATCAGATGCTTGATTAACATATTCAAATCGGTGCAGGTGATTAACAAAGGGAAGCAAGGGTCACAGGGTTTTGTTTTTTTTTTTCCAGAGTCAGAATCAGTTATGACAATAGGGACCATTTAGACCTTTCCAGGAGAACTGCATCCCCCATGGAAGAAGCAAAAAGGCACAATCACTGGGTTCCAGAATGAAGTGTTTGCAAAAGAATCTCAAGAAAGGACTGGTATCTCCCAGGTCTCTCTGTTGGCTAGGTTCTCTGGGGTCTTCAGGAATCTTCAAACTTATAGGAAATAGGAACCTTCAAAGACATTATGCAAGATGGGTCATGGGCCCCATTTAACTCCATCTCTGGTGTCCTTCTGAAGTTGCGTGGAAAGCAGCAAAGAAATTCTCTCCCAGTCCTCTCCACTCAGCAGATTTGAGATTTAAAGGTGATGCGTCACCAAGGTTTGAGACATTAGTAGCATCTGCCAAGGCAGAGGGCAAAGTCAGGAGACACCCAGTAGGAGGCACAAACTTGACTCATGGCCATGGCAGATGCAACTCAAGGAGGCTCCATAAGTGGCGGATGCCAGCAAAAAATAAAAATGTGTGTGTCAACAGACAGATATTTAGAGAATATCCACAATCATTTGAACAACTCTGGAATGAGCATGAATGTCAAAACCTTGAGACCATCTTATGTGCATTTTACATTCTTTTACTTACTAAGAAAATAATTATTGAGTGCTTATTATATTTGTGGGCTGGAGTGATAGCACAGCGGGTAGGGCGTTTGCCTTGCACATGGCCGACCTGGGTTCAATTCCTCCATCCCTCTCAGAGAGCGCGGCAATCTACCGAGAGTATCTCTCCCACACGGCAAAGCCTGGCAAGCTCCCCGTGACGTATTCGATATGCCAAACACAGTAACAAGTCTCACAATGGAGACATTACTGGTGCCCACTCGAGCAAATCGATGAACAAGGGGAGGACAGTGCTACAGTGCAGTGCTATTATATCCATATATTGGGATGAGCGTCACCAAAAGAAATGAGCAACATGAAATATGGTCTTAAAAAATACAGTTTATAATTACAAGATGTGTTGTAAGCCTAGACTATTACTCATTGTTCAGAGACAAGAAAGATGATGGAAAATCAGGAGCAGAAAATCAGATGGGGAGAAAATTCTGCTTTGGGGTGGTTTGTGAAGAGAAGAGGGCAAAACCCTAGTTGGAGGAAGTGAACATTTAGATTTATTTATGTCCACACTAGATGCGTTGGTGGAAGCTGTTCCTCATCATTTAGGAGATGAAGTCTTTGACAGTGCTGTCTGAAGGTGACCGAACAGAACTGGGTGGAGACAGGTGGACTGTTTGAAAGAGAAAGATCCAGAACTGAATATGAATTCATCCCTCGAACTTAAAGAAACGGTTTCCCAACCCAAGTGCCCAAGAACAGACGACTGGTTAAAGAAATTTTGGTACATCTACACAATGGAATACTATGCAGCTGTAAGGAAAAATGAAGTTATAAAATTTGCTTATAAGTGGATGGTCGTGGAGAGTATCATGCTAAGTGAAATGAGTCAGAAAGAGAGGGACAGACATAGAATGACTGCACTCATTTGTGGAATATAACATATTATGAGACTGACACCTAAGGACAGTAGACACAAGGGCCAGGAAGATTCCACAGTTGGAAGCCTTCCTCATGAGCTGGGGGAGAAGGCAGCTAGGATAGAGAAGGGATCACTAAGACAACAATGGTTGGAGGGATCGTTCAAGACAGTAGATGTGTGCTGAAAGTAGATAAAGGACCAAATGTGATAGCCTCTCAGTATATATATTACAAACCATAATGCCCAAAATGAGAGAGAGAGTATGGGAGAAATTGTCTACCATAAAGGCAGAGAGGAGACTGGAAAGGGGGGTGGGATACTGGGGACATTGGTAGTAGAGAAAGTGCCCTGGTGGAGGGACGGGTGTTCGATCATTATGAAACTCAATCATGAAACTTTGTAACTGTATCTCATAGTGATTCAATAATAAATAAATAAAATAAAAATAATTCCAAAAGAAAGAAGGAAGGAAGGAAGGAAGGAAGGAAGGAAGAAAGAAAGAAAGAAAGAAAGAAAGAAAGAAAGAAAGAAAGAAAGAAAGAAAGGGTTTCCAGTATCTCATTTTGGACAAGGGCAAGTGGAGGCTTGAAACAGGAAGAGAAAATTCGGCATATCTTGTCTGTAGAAGAGTCAAACCATCCCACTGAACAGAAGATACGACTTTGGCTTCCTAGTCTTCTAGCCTTCCTGTCTTATCGTCAAGTGAACACATTTTATGACCTACTTCTTCCCAGCACCCTCTCAACCTTGACTCTCATCTGCTCCGATCACTCTGTCCTTTCCACTTCCCTTTCTTATTCTCCAAGCATAAGAAAGTCAGACTCTGAAAATGGGGGAAATCTGACCCTCTTCTCTCATACAGGAATTTTACTGGCTTCTCTTTCCTCTTCAGAAAAACTCTAGCTTCTCAAACATGGGTGATGAGGTTCTGCATGATTCAACCCTTCCTCATCCCCCAGAGAGGATAGTAAGCTATATAAAAAATGGTCATCTTATTTAAATGTGACTTTCAGTCATATTACGGAACAGTATTGGCTGATAGAAGAGTCAAAGGGATATGTAACCTCACCAGGACTAGGAATTTTGCAGAATTAAGACTGAAACTGAGTTGGGGCTGGAGCGATAGCACAGCGGGTAGGGCGTATGCCTTGCACACGGCTGACCCGCGTTCAATTCCCAGCATCCCATATGGTCCCCCAAGCACTGCCAGGAGTAATTACTGAGTACAGAGCCAGGAGTAATCCCTGAGCATCACCAGGTGTGACCCAAAAAAGTAAAAAAAGAAAATAAAAGACAAACTGAGCAAGAGTATATAAGGAAAGAATGGGCTAATGGGAATTCTGGGGATTCTAGGAAACAAGACCAACAGGCATCCTGGTAAAATCTATTGTTTTCTATGCAAACAATAAAACAATATCCCTGAATTCTTCAAAGCTGTGCCCCTTTCAGTAATAGAGACTCCCCCACAGAACAAAGGAGACAGCAGGGACTGAGGGAACAGAGAGAGATGGTGATGGTGAAAATTGAATTGGAATCACCATTTGTCTGCTGACTCACTAAAATAGTGTCTTCTTTTTATTTGTTTGGTATTTTTTCAACACACTCAGACCTTGTTCCTGGCTCTTGCACACAGGAATCACCCATGATCAAGAACAAGGTGGGGTGCAGGGGATCAAACTCAGGTCAGTGACATACAAGGTAAGTGCGCTACCCACTGTACACTATTGCCCCAACTCCTAAAATAGTGTTTTCTAAACCTGAGAATTTGGCATCATTCGGGAAATATTTTAAAAGTTAAATTTTTAACATCTTGTTCCTGCAAAACATACACAGTGAAGAGTAGAGTAAAAATTTTCAGAGTGCCCTCAGAAAATTTGGGGTTGCCCACTTCTTTGCCAGTGATTTGAGAAAATGTTCTTTAAACTTCTAGAAACTTGGACAAATGACAGCTGAAGCTGTGAGTGTCTTCTGCCTTGATCACACCGCAAACGAGGTGTCGCTCCCCAAAAGGAGGAGAAATGGGGCCCTTTTACTTTCTTTTCATTTTGAAGGCCAAAATGAATGCATTTCATTTCAAATATTAAATAAAAAGAACTTTGAAAGAGCTACGGTTTTAGCCAACAATATTTCCCCTTTTTCTCCCTTTTCTCTTTGTATCAGAGTCACTAGGCTGGAATGGGAAAGTGACAGGCCAGCTGAATAGTCCCAAAGGTTTGTTCTTTTCAGAACAAAATCGATCA